CAGGAAAGAAAGGCAGTCTAAGGGTTCCGGATGACAAGTCCTTAAGCTCTCTTACGGAGGATGAGAATATTTCTTGGCGATGGAGCAGAGAACTCTTTAACTACTCTAGGGAAACCCCCTACTTTGAGGAACTCTTTGACCACAAGCAACTAAAGAAAACTGGCCTGAAGAACAGCAAGGAACGCGTAGTAGTATTTCCATAGGTGAAAGAAGGAAGACAATAGAGAATACTCGAGTTATGGAGATCTTAACCAGGTAGAGTTTTAGCAAAGATGGTAGAAAAGGAGTTGCGTCAGTGAGGTCGTCCAAAATCATATCAGCTCTGAGCAACTGCCTCTGAATTATGGTCCCGAAACCACAGCTTGCTTTTGCATATTCTCCTTCCGAACCACTCTGCGTTACTATAAATCTGTCTTGGTGGTAGAGCAGCATTCAGCCCCATTGATCTCTGAGGGTACGGCAGCGTTGTCGAACGGTTCTTCTTTCATGACCATGGACAGCCGTTATCCAGCAGCGAAGTTTTGATGTTATTGAAGCGTGCCCATGCCGCATTCCTTCTTCGACTGATCCCCCACTGATGTCGTTACTGCGTGTCTATTCGTTGGCCAAAGAATACCTGGCTAGCGGATTTTCCGCTTCTTGCCCGGCGCTGAAGATGGTACTCCCTCCGTAATGCTCATCTTCTTCATCTTCCATCGCCGCTTCTCCTTTCGGGTCGCAGAGGCAGGCACGTCAGACAGAGCTTCCAACGTTCCCGATCCTGTGCCAGAGTCGGCAAAAGACAGTTGGAGTCTGGAACAGACTCCCTCCATATGTTTTCACCAGGTTAACGTTGGCCGTCCCCTGGGCCTTTTGCCGGTCGGATTTGCAAGGAACAGTTGCTTATCCTTCCTTTCTGGAAGCATTCGCAGGCCCAAGCCATCGCAGCTGTGACTTCTCAATCTGGAGAAGCAAAGGCTGTATTCCAAGGCTCTTCCGTGATTCTCGTGTTGCACGAACTTTGTTTGGAGTTCCACCGGTTCTTTGGCGAAGATGATGACGTCATCAGCAAAGAGCAGATGAGTTAACAGTTCTCCGCCAATGTTAATGCCACTGTCCCAGTTCAGACGATTAAAGACGGATTCCAGTGCCGTCGCGAAAACTTATGATAAATATTTTCTTTGGCGTCCACCTCTTATGGTGTTGGCTCTGTACGGTTCCAGGAACCGTATAACGTTCCTCCACCAAGTGCACGTAGACAGGGTTGATACCGCAGTTGTGCGAGGCGTTCAGCATAGTGTTCGGCTCGATGGAACCGAACGCTGTTCTAAAGTCGATGGATGCATGCCAGAGGGTGAGCGGGCATTCCTTACACTTCGTTATTCGCTGCAACACGACGTGGATGTGATCTGTGGTGGAAAACCCTATTCAGAAACTAGACAGCAAGTGAGGTTTTCCCTGATGCGGTTGAGAATGTCTTGAGTAGAGACCTCGCAGACTTGTGACAGAAGAGTGATGGTTCAATAGTACTATTGGTTTACGTCCTCGTCGTTATTGAATAGAAGAACCGTTCAGCCTGACGCATCTTGCAAATCGCTCGGTAAGAGTTTTCAAAACGGCCATTCCTCCTGATTTGAGGGTGGAAGGTCCCAGGTATCACTGGAAACGGTTTCTGAGAAAAGCAGAAATTGCAGTATCTCGTGCATAACGCTTTTATGCGATAGCGATCTGCAGTTCTCGTTTCTGCTTCGTCCTTCTCTGCTACCTGAATTTCCTTTTTTAACAGGAGGCTCTGATCCATGCATTCAGGTTAATCTTCTCTAATGCGGTCTGTACCAGTTTCATTCTCATGTGTTTGCCGTAGCCTCCCGGATTTTTTACCGCATTTCTATACACATCGTAGTGTGCTTGTTGTCCAGCTGTTCACCAGCCTTCATGCCTTCATTCTGGCTATTTTGCCTCGTTGAGGTTAGAGCATTTCTTCTACTTCGACATTGCTGCACGGCTGGATAACCCGATGGTAGTGCATGTGGGATCGATGAGTTGCATGTAGCTTTCAAAGATGTTTTTGCTAAGGTTTACTGCGAGGCTCATCTGAGGTTTGCCTCCGAAAGCCTCATGTCCGAGCAGTCGACAAACGAGCAATTGTTTTTCAGCCGTTTTGGCCACATGTTGTTTGGAGACACCGAATATGACTGTGGAGTAGAATAATCT